AAATGAAAAATAGTGCTAATATTCAGACTCTCATTTTCCTGACATCTGAGTCTGCCCATTGGTCTTATAGACTCTCCTGGAGTTTAACCAATCTAGACAAAGCTTTCTATTCTGATTCTTTCTCATCGAAAATCATTTTCAGTTTTATTGTTATATTTGGTTGATGAATAACTAAAAGGCTGGTTGATGAATCACTTTTGCAAATCTCCCCTTCCTCCTGCACTCCTGAACTTTGCATTGGGGCTATGCTTAGACTGCAGGCTTCTTTTGTAAGTTTTCCAGAAGTGATCTTCTGAAAAAACTTCTTCCAGCGTCCACACAGAAAAAGTGCATTGAAAAAGTGATCGGCTTTTTTGAGAGACAATGTCCACATTAAATGGACACTATTTTGCATTTAAGCTGCGATTACTATGGTCGGAGTGGCCACCAGGGCACCTGTGCTTTTTCTTCTTTCTCCTAATTTTGAAAGAACTCCCTCTTCCCTGTCCACACATGCCTTTTTCCAAAAGAGCTCTTCCTCAAAAAGGCTGCTTCTTCATAGAAAGAGGTTTACCAATGTTGGAAAAACCCCTCTGTTCTTTTGATTTTCTTTTGAAAGAACATGATTGCATTGTGGACTAAGTGAATTTTTTTCAGAAAAATGGCTGTTTTTCTGAAAAAAATTCTGCAGTGTAGACATACCCTGTGTGTGCAGGCTTAAGCTACTGCTGGGCTTCTGCTCTTCCTGTCTGATTAAGTGAGCAGGGAGTGGGGAGACCTTCGGCACTGACAAATGCCGCTAAGGCAGCTAACAAGATTAGAGGAATACTTTCCTATTGACAAATGATGAATCACCATTTATTAGCATTGTGCTCATGGCAAACACAAACACAGAAGTTAGATGAAAATATAAAATATTATTGCTAAAAAGTGGTACCTAACACTGTTCACTGCTTAGCATCCAGAATCCTAGCAGAAAAGAACCCCAAATCATACAGAGACAGAGCTGTCTGATCCCTAAAACAGAGGCTGAGCTCACCCCACTTTGCTCTGGGCTGACTGTGTACACTGTGCCACAAGACCCAGATGGCACACATTTCTGCAGTGCTGCTTAGCATGCAACCAGGAACAGATAACTCTTTATAAAATTAAAGTGATAATTTAAATAGTTTTCCATACATGACAATTAGTCATTGGAGGAAGTGGGGGCAGGGATGGTATCACTTCTTTGCCACATGATTTCTTCCATACACTGACTTCTCTGAGCAGATTATTAAAACACAAACTAGGATTAGATCAATACAGTAAAAAGCAAAGTTCAATCGCCATAAAAGGGATCGGTAACAGGAAGAAAGTTCAGCTCAGCCCTTATCCCTGTATAGCATGTAATGGCTGTCCCAGAGTCTGCTATTCAGGTAAGAAATCACTTTTTAGATAAAAAAGGAATAAAACTTATCAGGTTTACGGGGATATTCAGAGGGAATGTTGAGTGTTGGCCCAGTGATCTGGTAAAACCAAGACCTTTGTTGGATTGAATTTCAGGCATTAATTTTAGGAATGAAGTAAATTAGCCAACAGATGTGAAGAAAGATGAATTTAAGGGTGTTTCTCTATAGGAGAGTTTTCTGACAGCTCCATGGGTTGTGTTAGCTTTATGCTTTTGTTATGATCCAGTAATTCTGCCTAAAAGGGCTGTACCGGCAAATCAGTCAAGATTGTGTTCTCGATGGCAATTCATCCGATTTGCCGCAAGCAGGCACAGAAACGTTCTCTACAAACGTTCTCTACAATCCCTTTTTGATTGAAAAATTAAATATATTCAGTGTTTTCCAGACAATTTATACACAAAATACTGATGGCCAACCATTCTGTGTATGTCTGTATTGGTCTTTGGATGGGATATTAAATAGGCTGGTTCTATGGGTGCTAAGCTTCAAAATGCACTTGAAAGTTAATGAGCCTCTGGACTTTAACATTTTGTCTGTATGAGTAATCGTCTTTCTGGCTTATTTGGCAAAAGGGAAGAGGAGAAAATAATAGTTTCTGATTTATTTTGAAAAACAGAGTAAAATATTCAGAAAGTTGAGACAGAAATGAATTGATCCTTAAAGAAAAAAACATATTTGATTCTGGTTTCACACAGGACTAATTATGAATTATAGGAAACAAGAATCAGCTTTAACCATTCCCAGTCTCCCTCCCTCCAAGCCCCCAACATCTACAGAAACACAGTGAAATGGGAGAGAGGCCCCAGCATTTCTCTAGTGAGACCTGTTAGAAAATAGATAATTTATAATTAATCTATTAGTGCTGGATCAAAAGTCCTAATAGAAAAGGCTCTGAATGCAATGTGCTTTGGGTCAGGCCTTCTATGAGAAATTGTTTGTGTGTGTTAATTTTCTCCTGTGAAGTGCCCAAACTAGTAACAGTTTATTCTCTCAGGGCATGTGTATACTTACTAGAAGATCGACACTTTGGAGGGTGATCTTCTGGTGTTTGAGTTAACAGATCTAGTATAGACCCGTAAATTGAACACTGTGACAGATCCCACTGGCATCTGGGACTCCTTCTTTTCTGAGGATTAAGGCAAGCCAATGGGAAGTTTTGCTCCCTTCAGCCTCCCGCAGTGTGGAATCTGCCAAGGCTCGGATTCTTATTGCTGACTCCAGCTACTCATTTTGCATAGCTGGAGTTATCTACCTTAGGCTACGTCTAGACTGCAAGCCTCTTTCGAAAGAGGCTTTTTCGAAAAAGAGTGTCTAGACTGCAAGCAGTACTTTCGAAAAAGCAAGCCGCTTTTTCGAAAGAGAGCACCCGGGCAGTCTGGATGCTCTCTTTCAAAAAAGCCCTGTTTGCATTCAAGAACGCCTTTTTTCGAAAGAGCACTTTCAAAAAAAGGCGTTCTTCCTCGTGAAATGAGGAGTACCGCCATCGAAAGAAAAACCGCGTTCTTTCAATTTAATTTCGAAAGAACGCAGCTGTAGTCTAGACATAGGTGAAGTTTTTTTAAAAAAAGGCTACTTTTTTTCAAAAAATAAAACCCTACAGTCTAGAGACAGACTTAGAGTTATAGGCTGGTCATCGAGTCCAACCACCTCCCCAAAGCAGGGCTAACCCCAACTCATTCATCCCAGCCAGGGCTTTGTCAAGCTGGGACTTAAAAATCTCTAGGGATGGAGATTCCACCATCTCCCTAGGGAACCCATCCCAGTGCTTCCCCACCCTCCTAGTAAAATAGTTTTTCCTAATATCCAACCTAGACTTTTCTCACTGTAACTTGAGACAATTGCTCCTTGTTCTGCCATCTGTCACAGACAGATGTCAGCCTCTTTCCAGCCTCTTTGGAACCTCCCTTCAGGAAGTTGAAGGCTGCTATTAAATTCCCCCTCACTCTTCTCCTCTGCAGACTAAATAAGCCCAAATCCCTCGGCCTCTCCTCATAGGTCATGTGCTCCAGCCCCTTAATTAGGAGCCCCTTCCAATGTGTTCACATCATTTCTATAGTGAGAGGCCCAGAACTGGACACAATACTCCAGTTGTGGCCTCACCAGTGCCGAATAAAGGGGAATGATGACGTCTCTGGATCTGCTGGCAATGCTCCTCCTAATGCAACCTCATATGTCATTGGCCTTCTTGGCTACAAGGGTATACTGTTGACTCATATACACCTTTTCATCTACCTTAAGCTGACCTTCCTGGTCTAGCATAAAATCCCCACATCAGTCTCCAGTGTCACTCAAGATAGCAGGTACCTTCTGAGCAACTTGTACCATAGAGAACTTACATAAAATTTTTAATTTAACAAAATCTGACAAAATCTTTTTATAACTTCTCGGCATTTCCCAAGGGCTCTGGTGAGCATTTCCTACTCCCTTCCTCTAAGGGAAATTTATCAATACGATTAATAAAAGTTCTGTACAAGTTAGAAGGGCTGAGTAGGTTCTCTAAGTGGTGTTCAGGCAGTCCCCGGGTTACGTACAAGATAGGGACTGTAGGTTTGTTCTTAAGTTGAATCTGTATGTAAGTCGGAACTGGCATCCAGATTCAGCCGCTGCTGGTCAGTTTTAGCAGCGGCTAACTTGGGGACGCCTGGGGCAGAGCAGCTGGGGTGCTGCTCTGCCCCAGGCGTCCTGATTCAGCCGCTGCTGGTCAGTTTTAGCAGCGGCTAACTTGGGGACGCCTGGGGCAGAGCAGCTGGGGTGCTGCTCTGCCCCAGGCGTCCTGATTCAGCCGCTGCTGGTCAGTTTTAGCAGCGGCTAACTTGGGGACGCCTGGGGCAGAGCAGCTGGGGTGCTGCTCTGCCCCAGGCGTCCTGATTCAGCCGCTGCTGGTCAGTTTTAGCAGCGGCTAACTTGGGGACGCCTGGGGCAGAGCAGCTGGGGTGCTGCTCTGCCCCAGGCGTCCTGATTCAGCCGCTGCTGGTCAGTTTTAGCAGCGGCTAACTTGGGGACGCCTGGGGCAGAGCAGCTGGGGTGCTGCTCTGCCCCAGGCGTCCTGATTCAGCCGCTGCTGGTCAGTTTTAGCAGCGGCTAACTTGGGGACGCCTGGGGCAGAGCAGCTGGGGTGCTGCTCTGCCCCAGGCGTCCTGATTCAGCCGCTGCTGGTCAGTTTTAGCAGCGGCTAACTTGGGGACGCCTGGGGCAGAGCAGCACCCCAGCTGCTCTGCCCCTGGGTCCACAACAAAAGCCTGGTCTGCTGGGGGGGGGCACACTAGCTGCGCCCCCTCCCCCCCAGCAGTAAGTCGGGGACTGCCTGTATTTCAACACTTTGGTATATATAGCAACATTGATACCAATTTTGCATCAATTGTTAGTAGGATCAGCCCCTTTGTTAATACATTTCTGTTCATTTTTCCTACCACAGTGATCTATACCTGCCCTCACTGCTGTCATTTTGTGTTCTGCATTTGAAGAGAGTGGAAGACTCATAAGGATTTCCCTGGGATATTTCTATTCACTGCCCTGTTGATGTTGTGAAAGCCTGCACAGCAATGGAGCCTGCATTTCACTGGGTGAGCCTCATTTGATCGCAGGTAAATAGAGTTCTGAGATAAACATACGCAATGAAACAGTCATTACGAAGGCCAATGGAAACTATGGATGCCAAAATGATGGACTCAAATGTCTTCAAGTTAAATTAAATTTTGCACAGTATAAAGTTTTGTTTAAAAGATCTCTGCTAATTTTATTTTATTAGTATATTCCCATATAACTATCCCCTCTGTTCTGTTCCAACTTGTGTAGAGACCTGCCTCAAATGAAAGCAAAAGCACCACATTATGAACTATTTTAATACTAGCCAATTAGCCCATCATAAGATGGAATTTTCAGGTCTTCTCTCCTGAGCTCTCCGGTAGAAAAATTCAGAAAATATCGGATATGTGCAATTTTGTGAATTTCTGGCTGGGCACTGGAGGGAAGCTTGATGGGGGCAGGGGAGCGAGGAAGCCCTGTGGTCATGCGCAAAAACCAGGTGGGGTGTGGGCCAGGACTTCCTCTGTCCCCCCTTCTCCCGTCCAGCCCCACGGCCCCGATCGCCCCCAGCTCTGCGTCCTGTCTCCTCTTC